CGGGAGAGACGTTTGGTATGTTCGACAAATATAGATAATCGTGAGGATAAAAAATTTGGCACTATTATCATTTTTTTCGTTTGATTATTTATGCTCGAGTAAGTTATACCGATTAATGTTAATTTATAATACAAGGATAACTTTTTTTTTACAGAGGGTGAAATAATAGTATTGAAATTTCTTATTTTGAGATGAAATAATAAGAATGAGAAAATTTTCATTGATCGAAATATCAAAATGAATATAAAACGTCAAAAGAGAAATAAAAATGATTAATTTCTTATTTACAGTATGCTCAAAATTTCAAAATGAATATAAAACATCGAAAAAGAACTAAAAATGATTAATTTCTTATTTACAGTATCAATATAATTTAACATATTATTATAAGTCACGACTTACCTTAGGTTACCAATCAATATTATCAAATTCAGATATCGAGTTAATTAGATAATATATATTTTTAATATAAAAATTTAAGCTTGAGATAATACTATTTTGCACTTATCTTCAATTTTTTTTTTCTATATTTAAATCATTAGTGCTATGTATTTGTTGTGCAATTCTTTTACTTGTTCAATCCTAGGAGACTTGTTTCCTATTTTTTATAAAATAAGAATTGATCTTTGTCATCAAATGTCTTCTCTTATCTATCTACTAAATAAAATAATAATATTAATAATAATATGTAAAATTAGAAAAGTTATAAGTGGATAACTTTTTATTATATTATATAGTTTCAAACTTTCAACTTCCGTTTAGTCATATTTCAAAGGAAAATTCTAATTATTATAACCTTGTTAAAGGAATTGAAAGTCCTTATCTCATACACATAATTGTCGTAAAGATTACTTTGAAGTAATATAATAATATTTCATTGTACCAACATTAAAAAAAAATCGATAAACGATATCATTATAAAGAAATCTCACTGTATTTTTTTAAAATAAATTTACTTTAAAATAAAATACTAAAAAAATATTATAAAAAATGATTTCAATTATCAGATAATATAATTAAAATAATATTAATAGGGATCAACACAATATTTGGTTCATTACTAAATCAAACTTTAATTCAATATTTAATATTTTCTTTTGTAGGATAAAGACAATAAAAGGGTCTCATTTTTATTTGTTGGAAAATATCAAAGACACGTTATGTTTATCCACGTTGACTTTTTTTTTTATTTTCAAATTCTTAACCATTATATTTGACTCATTTAGCCTAACTATTGGGGAAAAAAAAGATAATGATGCAACTTAACATAGATTTTTTTTTTAAAAAATAAAATAAAGAAGAAACGTGGAAGAAGATTTACAAAAAAAAAAAAAGCTAACTATATATTGACTTGTCAAGTAAAAGTCCCATTATTTTGAAGAAGCAAAATTTTGTGATAAGGTTTATCAACAATGAACAAAAGATCATAAATAAATAATTAGGAAAATTCCAATAGTTAATTTCTCTTATAGCATAATTGGTTAAATGTGATCATTTCATTATTTATCTCGGAGGGTAAAGATGCGATGAATTTAATTCTTTCATCTTTAATAAAATCTCAAATTTAATCTCTGACGATCAGTTATTTTTTATCAAGAAAAAAAATACTCCTGAATGATCATACGCGACTCAAACTTAAATTAATTGAAGCTATCGTTCTTTACTTAGTTAATGAAATAAAAATTTGATCATTCAACGATCGTTATTCACGATAAATTTAACTTTTATATGTTGAGAATAAAATATAATTATTTTGCATATATTATCAAAATTGAGTCACAGAACTATGTTTTGGTTTAATAAACTATAATATTTTGCATTCATACATAACGTACGTTGACTTTGAAGTCTTAGAAAAAAATTTATTTATTTTGTTGGGTATTGTGTTTTAACTTGTCAAAATTGGACTACTAACAAACATATTCCAATTAAATAGTCTTTTCAAAGTCATCCAACTTCCACCATGTTTTTCTCTTAATTCAAAGTTTTGAAGAAACATGTTTATCTAAGTTGTAACTATAATAATAATAATAATAATAATCCAAAAGCTCCTACTTTGGTCAATAATCTTATCTACAAACATTTAATCACGAGTCATCCAAACATTTATGACATTATGATATACCTATCTGTCACAAATATTTATGTCAAATCAATAAAATTAATCGTAACAGTTACGAATTAAAATAAAAATAAAAATACAGATCACCTGATCATGATATGATGATATATATATATAAAATTGTATTCATTGATTTGGTATAAACGTTCGGTCAAGGAAGAGAACATTTATGCTCCCAAAAAAATATTTTTTTTTGTTCAATGATGGGCTTTGTTTTGGGCCAAGAAAATAGTAAGTGAAGAAGTGGTTTCTTAAGGACTAAAAAGCCCAATGGGCTTTTCCTCTAAAGCATTAAACTAGAAGTGATAATTTTAGTCGAGCAACTTTCACATATAGCAAATAAAAAAATTATATATGTATGCTATAACAAAATTTGTATAATTGCACTCCATAGCAAACATATAAATGTATAATTCGCTATAGATATGCAATTGTATGATTCGCTGGCCTATTTCGCTGCAACATCTGTATAATATTTGCATTTGTATACAATTGAATCGAAGTAAAATGTTTGTATATTGTATAATTATAAGTGTATAGGAAGAAGATATATGTTTTTGCATATGTATATACAATTTCTCTCGCTTTATACAAAATAGAAACACAATTTATACACTTATGTTGTATAAAGCGAGAGAAAATTGAATTTCGCTGTAATTGTATAATTCACTGGCCTATTTCGCTGCAATATCTGTAAAAGATCTACATTTATATACAATTGAATCAAAGTAAAATGTTTGTATATTGCATAATTAAGTGTGTAGAACGAAGATATATGTTTTTGCATGCGTATATACAATTTTCTCTCACTTTATACAAAACAGAAACACATTTTATACACTTCTGTTCTATAAAGCGAGAGAGGCGAGCAGAGGGAGAGTGGCGAGCGAGAATAGGAGAGTGGCGAGCGAGAGTTTAGGGAGAGAGACGACTGACAAACGTTTGCTATGAGACACCATTAAATCAAACAGTAGTTACTCTATTTATTTTAGATTATTAGTTTATTATTCTGTACAATTATCCCTTTTTAGTCTTACCATATAGTAGCGATATCTACTGACCCGATTAATCGAGACTCACACCATGTAGCCACCTATCGGAAGGGGCTGAACTAGTTTACTTAATTTTCGTTAGTATTGTATCCAATTGTTACTTTATTTGCAATGTTCTTTTTTGTTATTTAAATCGATACCGATAAACTCCTATTTTATATAACGAATAACGATCGATTTGACGTGATCCATTGGTATTCTTTTCTCATACCCTACATTGTCATTTTAATACATTATAAGTTAAATCATCATCAACATTGGCGGTGGTGCTGTGGTAGGACTACTCCACCCTTAACCAGATGTCTCGAGTTCGAGCTCTGAGTACGAAAAATCATGTTAAAAACACCACCCCATATGAACCCTGCACTGCGTAGCCCAAATATAACCGAAGCTCCAAGCACCGAAAACAAAAAAAAAAATTTATTCTTGGTGTATGACACTATGGCACGCGAAAAACAACAATTTATCTAAACATTATATTCATTAAAACAATTTATGAAACTAATTTTCTGCTCATGGTGACAAGAACTGAGTTTTTTACTAAATGAACTCAAACTTCCAAAAATAATACAAAACAGTATGATCATACATTTTATTGACATTTAGCCTGAATAGAAAGATATGCACTATGGTAACATCAAGAATGCAGAGGATTGAAAACCAAAATCCTGCACAAGAATTAACAGTTCGTGTGATCTCACGTTTTTTGAGTTAACGAATACTTCGATGATAGTGTCTTTGGTTCCTCATCTTGGCCTGTATCTATTTCGTAAAGATCCCAACGACTGCAGATACGTAGCTTGCCAACTGAAAAATGTTTTTTTTTCCGACAAGCGGTGTGTTAGGTTAGAACTTCATTTATGTGTTACTGTCTATGTTGCTCGACTCTCCAAAAAAGTTGCTTGACCATGTCGGATCCTCTAAAATGCAGGAGGATTTGATACCGCACTTGTCGACATTTTTGAAGAGATTAAGCAACATAGGTAACTGTGAATGAGAACAGATGCACCTTTTGTAGTATTCTTACCTGAGATGGAATGCTGAGTCCTGTGTGTCCTTCGATGATTAATCCGACCGTGAGACCGATCATAGCCCACGCACCGTTAATGGCTTCTATTTGTCGCCGTCTCTGTAAGAAAATTCAGAGCAGAAAATGTAAAATCGATGTAACGGTAACAAGTTTCAAGAACATTTGTACAAGCACAAGAATCTTCAAAGGTGGAAAGCACATGGTATTTTATCCAGGTCACATCATTCAAGACTTAAGTACGCAGAAATTTGCAAGGTAGGACGGAGAGGGGATTATGTTACTCTTGGTAGAAGTATGCATTAGTAGGCAATGTCGCTCAGACTCTTAAAAAATATCGATAGGTGTGTGTTAGATCCTCCAAAAATAGTGTATTTATGGAGGATCTAATATGAGTCACAACATTTTATGGAAAGTTAAGCAACCTAGCTTATAGGGAATGACCGACTTAAATGTTTAACGTCACTGGAAGATTTATCTCATATAAAGTGGAAATAAACTAATAACTTGACATTCAGGGCTGATTTTACTACCATTCGGGAGATGAGAACCAGAACACTGATTACCTTTAGCAAATAATGTGAACTCGACATCCTACACTCAATTTGCTTAGAGGTAAGCATCATGTTCGATGTCCACATACTAACGTGCCAGACACGAGAGAGGGAATAATTACTTGAGCTAATAATATGAATTCAATCGCCGAAATAACTAAGTCTGCTAAGAGGCACCTAGGAGTCGAGAAGTGCCAAGTTACATTCAGTACTCATGAAAATATAATTGAGGCTTGCTTACTCACTTGATATCTCTCTTTAGCTTTGATTTCCACCATTTGCTTCGCAGCTAATCGCTTGGCTTCTAAAGGATCCACCATGATCACTTCCTTCTTTGTTCTCTCTCTCCCTGGAGATGCCTGCGGACAAAGAAGGTTTCATTTAGAAACTCAAGTTGATAGATAACGACCTCAAGTCACTATGAAGATATCTCTCATACCAAACAAATAACATCAATGGGGTTGGGTTTTTGTACATATGCATGGAGTATTTTCTACTTTTTTATACGACCATGGTGTTTAGGCTGGCTTGCACACACATTCAAAGATATGATAGCCATATAAACAAGAAAGTAGAAACAAGTTTTACCAAATCACCCTTCACATAATTTTACCACCTTCCACGTTATAAAAAAACCATCTTTGTTTACAAGTATATGCTTTTGGGCATAATCAGATCAATTTTACTAGTATTACATACATGGAAGCCTTCATAATGCATACATTGGGATTTGCCAGGACGCGGATTGCTGGACTCCTGGTTTTCCATGACGCCAATTCAGTGTTCTGTGTACTCCCATATTCGAACCTGACACAGAAAAGCTTGCTTATTAACAGGGAGGAATTGTCATGTCAGTTTAACATTCGTCATTCTATTGGAACAATTTTGTTGCTCGGATTCTCAAAAACTGTTGTTGCACCGGTGTCGGATCCTTAGACAATGCATTTCATCTGGTGGATCCAACACACAACCAACATGTTTGAAGAGTCCCAACAATGTAGATTTTGAGTGGAATGCTAACTAATAGGAGGAATTGCAGACAACGTCACCATATTAGCACATGAGCTAGTGAAAGCCTACACTCCAAAATATGTGTCTCCAAGATGAATGATCAAGATAGATCTAAGGGAAGTAAAAGATTCTGTTGAATGCATTTCTCTACAACAAGTAACGGAAGAGCTCAAATTCCTACTAACTTTATCACTTGGGTTAGGGAATGTATGAAAACTGTAAATTACTCAATAGTGATGAATGGTGAGCCGCCAAGAGAACCTTCCAGCTAGAAGTCTAAGGCAGCTTGATCCCATGGCACCTATCCTATTTGCCAATCTTTATAGAATATCCGAGTAGAAGCTATGTTTGGTCTAGAACCAATGTGATAACTGATAACCAAGAAGGCATTAGTATCCTGGGATAAAGTTTGTCTGCCAAAATCATTTGAGGGCCTAGGACTCGTTTAACTTATGTTGATGGAATAAACATAACCAAGACAAAATGGATATAAACATCTTATATAAAGAGGCAGCAGATTGAAAGTACGAGTATACCACAGCAAGCTAGCTGGCAAATGAGGAAGATCATTCGCGCAAGAAAAACAACGCAGCACGTGCAAATAACAGATAGAGGACAATAGAGCTTAATCAGACACATATACCTACAGTTGATTGGAAACAATGCAAGAGCGGAATGGAAGTGTTTCATGTGTGTGCATGAGGCTAAATTTACTCTGTGGTTAACCAACAACATACCGAGTATAATCCCAGAACTGGGGACTCGGGAGGGTGGGATCAGGGCTGTCCATCCAGTTTAAGGTTGATAAATGCAATTAGTTTGAGTTAATGTCTACTTTCATTTGATCAGCTAAATACACAAGCCCGACTCAACAAGATTGAGGGCCTAAAGCCAAACTTTCCTTGAAAAATTTAAAGGCTGAAAATGCTCAAATAGACAAAAAGATAACAATGAGAACACGTCGATAAAGAAATAATAAGCAAAAACATAAACCAACCACAAACATTCAGACTAATAATACTTCTCAATTCTCATACATTATAAACAAGATTCACTTTGAATAGCTAACCAAGACTAAGTCTTTTACACATTAAAACAATTTCTAAAACTGAAATCTTCTTCTCAATCTCTCTTTTCCAACCTCTAAACACTCTTCTTGAACAATTTTTAAAAACTCAAAACTCCTCAAACATATGACAATGAAATCACAAATTTCTAACCAAGATTCAATCTTTTTATAACTTTTAACACACCAAAAACTTTTCTTGAAAATTCTAAAGCCCTAAAATTTCTCTAATAGTAAGCATAAAAACACAACACACCCAACAAAATACAGGCAAATAAAACTTGTAAAAAAGCAAAAAACAAGGGCAAACTCACTTTCTAACAGGTGAATGATGAAATTCCGATTTTGCCCTTATGTTGATACCTCCATTGATGATGGGTACTGTAGCACTAAGCACCATTTTTTTTTCCTTTTCTCCTCTCTCTCTCTGTGGTGATGAGTTCTTTATCACTATGTTTTTGTTTTCCTCTTTCTATTTTTAGTATATTTGGTCAGCATTTGTACAAGATAATTTCACTTGAGCCCCCAAAGATTATAGTAATTACATATTGACTCCTTTAACTTTTAATATGATTTACGAGGATGTTTGACTAAACTTATAAACTGGTCAAATTGATGTATAACTTATCTACTTGTTTGGTAAACACATATGGGGTGTGCATGGTTTGGTATCTACTCGTTTGGTAAACATATAAACTCAGGTTCAAAAGGACAAACAATATAAATTTTATTCGTTTAGGGTTTAATATCAGATCATGAGTTTTTTATAATTACTATTCGTGTCACATTTCAGCCGTTAGAGATATATGTCTCATTTGTATTGAGTTAAAATAGGTGTAATTTATTCAAGATATACAATATTCATATATCCAACTAACATTATGTATTTGTATTCTGGTAACAAAAATACATGTATATAAATGTATTAGATTTGAAATTCGGTGTAAAACTATTAAATGGTGGATCGAAATAAGCTCAAGTAATTAAAGGGAAATGACTATGTTTATTAACTCGCATAAACATAAATGGATTGAACGAATCATGAAACGATTTTTTTCAAGTGATAAATCTTTTTCTTAGCCCAAATCAATTGCAAACCCAATCCAATTTTCCTCCAAACCCGGCCCAAATACCCATTAATCCTCTCCCAATACCCAATTCCTTATCTTTCACACACCCAATGACAGTTGCCTGTGTACGCACGGGCCCAATATATGCACAAATATTAATAGCTGGTTATATACATATACATCTTTATATTTATGATTGTACCGCGTATTATATTTGTATATTATTTTGTGTACGTCACATCACGAAATGCATTTGTGCCACACATATCAGATACGCGATTGAGATGCAAGAAAGAATGAGATTTATACTCCATCCATTTCATTAAAGTAGTCAACAAAATCTACAATATCCATAAGAATCCAACGTACACAATGACCCATAAATCAATCATAAATAACAAAGTATTTGGCATAACTAAAATAAAAAAAAAAGCATATAATTTATTGATTGAATAATTCTTATACATAGCTCATTAATCACAAGCATCAACACTAAAAGTCAAAGCATTATTTTTGAAATCAAAAGTTAATCCTGTGCCTTGAAGTTGATGTGACCCTATAAGTGTTGTTTTATCATCCCATGGCAAAAAAGCCAAACAATAAAACCCTTGTAAATCAGCTACAACTCTCTCTTGTACTAACATCAACTCTTGTTTATGTGACACACTCCCAAAATAAAACCTTATAATTGGAAAATACATATCTTCATTCTCTTCTTCTTTATAACAAGTATCAAATACACCAATAGGATATTGTAACATTGGATATTTCATTTCTTCTCTAAATATGTATCTAAAAACTATGTATAAGTCATGAGGAAATCGCGTTATCAACGACCCTGTATCAACCATTGCACCATGATCATCTTTCTTACCACTCCACCACGATGGATCCACGGGGACTTCCTTATCGTTGATGAAAATTTTATAAAGATTAACATAGTATAAATGAGGGTTTAATCGATTTTTCACAAACTTTGCCTCTGTTCCATATATCCAAGGAGCTTTATTAAACGTTAGTATAGATGGTTGCGTTGATTTTGAGCTTGGTAGACATAATGCAAATAATGATGAACCTAATTGTGATGGTAATGAATATCCTCCTGTTGTTTTTGCACTTAATTTTTTACTTAGACCAACAATCCCAGAAAATGTACCACTAAAATCACTACCACTTTTTTGATCAACACTACATCCAAAATTAATCCTTGCTTGTGTATTGTCTGATGGAAATGTTATGATATCCGACGCGACGAATCCTTTTGTTGTTTCACCATTGTCATAGACATGTACATAGAAACATGATTTAGTTTCTAATGAACAATGAAAATCAGAGGTGGTTGTTATGCAAGTTGAACTATTTGTAACACAATCCAAACTTCTATATGTGTTTGATGTGGTATAGTTGTATATTGTATAAAATTGTGGTTTGTAACATTTGTCTTCAATGCATGGTGCACATTGCCACCAAGTAAAGTAATTTCCAGTATCTATTAGTAACAAGTTGTGTATTTTTTCACTTCCAAGTAAAAATGTTGCAACATAATGACCTCTCAAGTACATAGTAGGTGTTACCTTTAGGATTTGGTCATCAAGGACATTTTTTGCACTATTGTGGGATTTTAGCATTGAGGATAGGTATGTTGCGCTAGCATTATCTTGAGAAAGACGATTATTGAATACAGAGTCGTAGTCTTTGAATTTTGACTTTTCAAAAAGGTCGAGATGGTAAACACTAAAAGATTTAGGGGGCATTGGAGGATCTTGAAGGTTAGATGTATCAAAAGCCATGAAGGCTTTTCTAGCTTGTTTAAGGGCAGTAGAATTAACCTTGAAGTATGATTTTTCATTGATCAAATTAGAAGCAAATGAATTCAAATGAAACATTGACATAAGAATAAGAGTAATAAGGAGTAGGTATTCCATATTGGAATTTAGTTTTAGAATTGATCAATTTGTTTGAAGTTTGTGCATCATTTATATACACCGACATAGTGATCTGAGAGACCCTCGTATAATTAAAGATTATCTGGTTGTGCTAATTTTGTTTTTTTGTATACAAATTTATTTAATGAAGAAAGATATTGTGAAGATCAAAACAAATATTGAAAAGAAGATATATATTATGAGAATACATGGAAGAAAAAAACATGTCTAAATCAAAATACAATAGTCATCATTAAAATAATATTTATGACGATCCTATGAATAGAAAATATTCTACAAATTAAACGATAAATAATTAATATCCTTCTATTACTTTAAGAAAAGAAAGGTCCAAAATGGAAGTTTAGGTTGGGGTGGTCGTTTGGTATTCGGTTTGAGATTATTAAATTTTGATTTCGATAACTCTGTAATTAGTAGTAAAAAATAAATATTAAAATTTTAAATTTTGAATTAGTTATTCGATATTCGGTAAATTAATTTTCGATTTAATAATATGATATTCAATAAGGGAAACTTACATAAATATACTATAATAAAAAAAATATTTATCATTTATAGTAATAACATTTTTTTTTCACTTGACTATTTTTAATGCATTTATAATGCAAGTTTAATACATATTACAAAGATAAATTTATTATTCAAATATAATACAATTTCTAATGATGGATAATACATTTATCACACGTTTTAATACACTTATAATACAAGGTGACAATTTTTTAACAAACAAACATAATATATTTTAAAAACAATTGTAATTCAAATATATTGCATACATAATTCACTTTTAATACATATTACAGATTTATCACAATATTGTTGTAAATGGTAATAAACAAAAAATATCGCTAAAATCAGTAATTATTTTTAAAAATGTATCTATTCATGTAATTTTTCCATTCAAATAATACCCAACTGAAGATTTAGCCGATTGTTACAAAGTTAATACTATTTTTCTAATCATTTTATTTTTTTTTGTATGTAGATGCACAATAGAGTAGAAGATCAATTATATTTGTACAAGTTAAAAAAGAAGTTCAAAATAATAAATGAATAAATTATTTGTTTTTTTTAGAAGAATATATTTTATGAAAAGAAAGAAATATTTAAATGTTGAATACATTTGATAACTTTAAAAGGAAGTTGTTAGATTTGAACTACAAATTTATGGAAATATGAGACGTTGAAAAATGTACAAATAGAAAGGAAATATTCAAGCATATTTTCTATCATGATTAATAAAAAAAAAACATCAAGGGATTAATGGAAGATATTATCAAAAATGCATAAAAAAAAATCAAAATCCACTAAATGTGCCAATGTGAGATTTGCATATTGAATTGAATATACAAAAAGGCCAAATATATCTTTCATAATTAAGAACATATATTACTTAATTGAGAAACTAATTAATTTGTATTATTCTCTTCCCTTGTTTCAGGTTCTTTTTTCACAGAGTTTTATGCAAAAATAAAAAATAATAATTGTGCACTAATGGTGTGATATAAATGTTTACTCAAATCAAGTCGTTTAAAAGATAATTAATGGAGGAGAGTAAAACTGATTCACAGCACAAGTTAGGTCATCCGCGAACAGATATCTAAAGTGTAAGGTGACCTTTTCTAAGGAATGATTTAAATTATTTCTCTTTCGAAATTTTGAATTAATTTCGAAAGTTCCCCTCTCGACATCATTATTCCAAGAAAATTTGATAGTTAAAAATAACTTTTGATCATCTTAGGAAAAAAGATAAGTTTTTTTTTCCACCTGATTAGGTAAATATTTTATTTAATTAAAATCTTGGTTAGTCATATCGAATAAATATTTATATAACATGCAATAAGATGTTAAATTATATTGATATTATGAAAAAATTACATTATATCAATATTTATAACTTAAATTCATCGTAAGATTTAATATGTAAATAAAAGTGTGTAAATGTGACCATCCAACCCTTCATTTTGAATTTTTGTGTAAATATAATCACATAATTAATTGAAAGAAAAAATATCAGAAAAATAAAGGACTAAAAAGTCACCACTAATTATTGATAAGTGTAAAAAATGAATAAATATAACATAAAATGGATCGGGGAATTTAATTAAGTTAATACAAAAGTTAGAATAAATACAAACAATCGAATAAAAAGAAGAAGGGCCCAATTGAATGTTATTATAAGCTTTGTGATAATCATAGAATATCTAGTTTTCTCTAGCTCGTATTTTCTTTATGATGGTTAACTAGTAGAAGGATAGGTATCTCATTAGGATTGGTAAGGCAAGGAGCTAGCCTCTTTGTACTTATTTCTTTTAGCCTCCATGTCTAGTCGTATAAATTTACTTTTAAAAAAATAATTATAAATCAAAATAAATATTTTTTTTACATAATAATTTTTGCATAGGGTTCGAGGAAGGACCGAGATAATATAGACTGAGTAAAGAATGTGTAATGTGCAATTGACTCAAGTCAACTGCTGTCCATTTTTGCAAAAAGCAATCAGTAAATTACACCACAATTGCCAACTTTGACTAGTCAAAACATGAACAAAGAATATTTGCATGTCGGATGAGTGATAATACGAACGCTCTAACGTGGAATTTTACGTGTATTATGACATATATGTTTATTCGTATAATTTTATATAAATGAAAATATCTGTTTCTGCACACTCAAAATTAGAAAACATAGATATTAATTGATATCAATTAAGTTAAAAAATGACATATTTATACAATATATCTCTATATATATAGACATGGATCTAGAAAAGGACCACACCCAAAGTTGTGTGGTGTCAAACGTGTTGTGGAAAATGTGTTGGAAATATGCTACCATGCAATTGACCCAAGTAAGTACTCTTGTCCATTTTTGCAAAAATCAATCAATATATTACACCACAATTGCCAAAGCAAATATAACTTTTTTTAAAAAAAATTCCATCTCCACAATGTGCAAACACAACATACTTTACTTAGTACTACCATTTTTCATACTACTTTGCATTTTTTCTCTAATATGTAACGCGGTACAGAGTGACATTAATTGCTTGATGTCGATAAAAAACTCATTAGAAGACCCTTTAAATTTCTTGAATACAACGTGGAAGTTCGATGATCAGAGAGAAGGTTTTATATGTAAATTTGCAGGAATACAATGCTGGCATCCTGATGAGACCAGAGTTTTATCCATTAGTCTTCCAGGCATGAGACTAAAAGGTGAGTTTCCGCGAGGCATACAAAATTGCACTTCTATAACTTCTCTAGATCTTTCGTCCAACGAGCTATATGGTACCATTCCTTGGGATATATCAAAATTAATCGGATTTACTGTAATGCTTGATCTTTCGAGCAACAATTTCTCAGGCGCGATCCCAAGTGACATTGCAAATTGCTCTTTTCTTAGTTCCCTCAGATTAGACGGCAATAAACTTGAAGGTCCAATCCCACCTGAAATTGGCTTGTTAGGTCGACTCAAGAACTTTAATGTTGCTAACAACATGTTAACAGGGCCAGTGCCAAGTTTTATCAATGCAACTTTTCCAACTGAAAGTTATGCAAATAATCCAGGACTTTGTGGTGGTCCTCTGAGAGTATGTGGGTTCCATCATAATATGTTAAGTACTTTAATGAACCGTCGTGTACAGTTTGCTTGTGGTTTTGTAACTGGTTGGTCACTTTTTACTGTACTTGGTATATATCTTTTCTTCTTTGGTTTACCTCGCGTAAACAAGATGTTTCTATTCATCAAAAAGAGAACAAAGGTAATGGTGATTGATGAAAATGAATGGCCTCGAGGAGAAGAAGTAAACAACGATCCAAAGGTAAACATTACACTTGCTTTCAAACGTCTTCTTATTAAACTTAGTCGCAAGCCATACAAGGGTTATGGCACGTTTAAGATTACAAGTTAAGGAACTTGTCTTCTTTTGTCTTAAAATTTGTGTCCAGTCAAACGAAAGGGGACTACTTAGTCGAACTATTGCTAAATATGGTAGCTATGTTCTTTTCCTCAGGTTTCAAAGATGGAGAAGATTGTTACAAGAATGAGTTTTATGGAACTATCAACCGCGACTATGAATTTCAGCCAAGACAATGAAATAGGAAACGGAATGCTAGGGAAAGTGTACAAAGCACTGGTTCCAAATGGATGGACTGTTGCCATAAAGAGGTTTCATGTTTCAGAGGATTTGGAGGAAGAGTTTGTTTCTGAGATCACTACTCTAGGTAGTTTGAGGCATCCGAATTTGGTGCCTTTAATCGGCTTTTGTTATGAGAGGGACGAGCGAATTCTGGTTTACAAATACATGCCTAATGGAAACCTACATGAGTGGCTGCATTCAACCGACGATAAGGCAAGACTCTTGGACTTCCCTTTGAGGGTTAAAATTGTTTTAGGTATCGCGAAAGCCCTCACTTGGCTTCACGATGGTGGAAATTTCCATGTCGTGCATGGTAACATAAGCACACAATGTATCTTGCTCGATGAAAATTTCGATCCTAAGTTATCCAATTTTTGGGAGGCAACACTTGCAAAAACAAATGACATAGATTCCAACTTGAGTCTGTTTCCGATAGTCGAGTCTATAGACTTCACAACATACAAAAAAGATGTTTATCGATTTGGGGTTGTGCTTCTCGAGCTTTTAACGA